CCCCAAAACCCCAAAACCCCAAAACCCCTCAATGATATAAAGATCTTAAATTAAGTTAATTTTAAGCTTATATAAATTGATAATAAACAATGATAAAACATTCAGTCTTTGAGTGCCCATGCTTCAAGTATTTGAGGGAGATGGAGTTTACCTTTAGTCTCATAAATCATTTTGTTAAGGTCTTTTTGCTAGAAGCCTAAGGCTATTTTATTGTTAACATTGAGGAGATCTGTTTCACTATCGCTTTTCAAAAACCCATTATGAATTAAATCCAAAAAGGTTTTAAGAAATACCTATTTTGACAAGTTTAATCCAAATTAACTGTGAGATTTCATAAAATCCCTAAACTTCTTGAATACAGCCTCAAAATTAAAAATTGATGCCTATTAAGCTACTTTTTTTGCTGCAATAAGAACAATCAATTGGGCCTTAGTCATTTTTTCAAGAATTTTGATTGGCTCTGAGTTTTATTTAAGCTATTCAAATTACTTTAATTAGACTAATAGCTGATCATTAAAGAAATCAGTTAGCTCTGACTATAGAATTTAATCATATTCTGGAGCAATCATTTTCTAGCTAATTATCTGATCTAGAGAGCTTAATGATATCCTGAGCATTTAGGCTAGATATTCATAATTCTTACCCATCTCAAACTCCTCATTTAACACTTACCTGACTTCTACTGCACAAATTGCATTCTGAATCAATAAAACTTATTTTCTATATTTTATATCATCACATTCCCAAATTAATTCACTAATCGATTCACTGAGACAATTGATGAACTTCTCAATAGTTTACTCATAGAAAAGAATCATTCTATGGCTGAATCTACTCTTGATTCTCTTTTCAAATGAATCCGCTATATCTAGTTTTACACTGGTAGCGATGAATACAAATTTAATCTTCAGATATCCAAACATATCCAAAATTTTGTAGAGAAGGACTTGCTTTGTATTCTCTACATAGTAGTCTATGTCCTCAAGAATAAAACACACTGAAATATTTTGATTCTCATCAAAGTATTACTTAATATGCTCCATCATCTCAAAACTATGAAATGCTTAAGATGCATGCTTTAAGTTTAGGGATTCAGATAGCTTCATCAGTATCTTTGCCTCAGTGTTACTTAGAATAGAGTTTACTCTGATAATCTTGAGATTGTTTTCTTGATTATTTGATTTTAATTTTATTGTAATATCACTTGATATTTGCGAGATGAATGAATGTAGAGTTTGTTTAGTTCTTGATAATAGCAAAAATGAATTATTATCTCCCTATGAATATGATCTGTATAGAATGTCCATTACTTAGTCGTACTAGTTTTTGTAGAAACTCTCAATCTTCTGCTTAGTCAAGTTTGTCAATCTAATTATTATCTGCTATATTATTGCAGAGTAAGGTGACAGGTCAGCTATTTTATTAGTATTGCCTTTTGATCTAAAAGCCTATCTATCTCCTAATAACTTCTCTAGTTAGTTTTATGTTTTTAATTTATTAATTTTGCTTTAAGGAACATCGATTTCCATGGCATTATCGTCGTCATCGAAGTCATCTTCATTAAACCTGCTATCTCTCATTTCGATTCAATATATTATTCCCGCTTTTATTAATACTTTATTTTCTAGTTTTCAAAAGCAATATGGGGTTTTGGGGTTTTGGGGTTTTGGGG